CAATGTACTGTCTAGTCAGAAATGAAAACTGACTCCCAACATGATTACATCCACTTCTGAAAAAGAGAATACCTCCTTATCTTACTGGACAATACTTTAAGAGAACAAAATATCCATGTGAATAACGTCTTCTGTAATTGACACAGTAGAAGTTTGTTCTCACAGGATCTAAGCCTGTTAAATTTGGCCAGTCGGATTTCGTTCTAACTAAAGGGGTATGGAATGGTAAATTTGAGACTTTGCGAGACTACGAGATTACGATGATTCGAGACCGAGACTTAAGCGTTTTTATCAATTCCGAGCGCGAGACTTTACTTCTAAAAATTCCGAGCCCCGAGACTATAAGCACCGAAAATGTACAACGCCGATGAAAGCTAGCGAAGCCCACCAATATACTGCTATCTTTTGCTTTACTTTCTTACTTTAATAGCTCAGTTCGATAAACTATTGCCTCAAACTCTTAAAAATTGGACGACCTGAAGACCAAAAGGAAAGAAAAAACGACAAAATTGAGACTCCGAGACCCGAGGGCAAAAAAAAGTAGGTCAGGGTTAAGTGTCAATCAAGTAAAACTACCTTTGCTCTCTTATAAAATGGTGTGATTATTGCTAGAAGCACAACATGATGATGATTATGTTCAAGTTTTCGCATGAGTAACAGTTGGAAACCATGCACTGTAAATCAGAAAGATCTGTTTTAGCCCTAAAAATAGGGCCGTTTTGGTGAGTGAAATACATTCCTATTTCCAATCTGCTAGGGCTGATTTGGTCCCAGGGCTGAAATAGGCCCTACCGTGGGCTGGAATAGCCTTTTGATTGAGCTTTTTTGGCATAAATTGTGCTCAAATGGCTCCAGGAAGGTCTGAATCAGACTTTGGCCTGCAGGGCTGAATTGACACTTTGGGGCTGAAACAGATCTTTTTTAATTTTCGGTGTGGACCTCTTAAGCACAATCAAGATGAGCTGTGAGAGTCTACCCCGACTACCGAAGACTACGGAAGAAGACCCCGTCATACAGACACTCAAGAACACTATTCTGTTAGGATGGCCAGATTTCAGAGAGGAGTTGACACCCCATAATGGTATCCTCTTCAAGAATCAGTGCGTCATCATTCCAAGAGTCCATGAGACGCGAGCTTACTGCCAGAGCCCACTCAAGTCATCAGGGAATTGAAGCATGTATCCGGAGAGCCAAAGATGTGGTGTTCTTGCCCCTTAATGAGTAAAGACATTCAGCCGGAAGCAGTAGAAAAATGCAAAGTCAGTCTTTGTAGAGTTCCAAAACAACAACAGCAAAGAACCTATGCAGTCACATGAGCAGTAAAAGCACCTATTAGATACGGATATTACGAATGAACTGAACATTGATTACCGTATTTATTCGAATAAGCGCCCAACCTCGAATTAGCGCCCACCTCGAGGGACGGGAATAAGCGCCCATCCTAAAGGCAGAACAAGTTAATAAGAGCCCACCCGCAAGCCACCTCCCTCCACCTCAAACTCAAATAAGCGTGGATGCAGGTTGAGGGGCTCATACTTTGTCAGCTTCAGGAAACGTGCGCCCCACCACGTCGCGAAACTCGTTCAGTGGAGGCCTTGAGGCCAGGGATAGTCGGGTGGTTCCTGACGGATATGAAGATGACCAAATTCATTGCCTGAAGGACGGTCAGCTTTGTCATGCGGGAACAGATCGCCTAACATCCATCCAGCAAGCTGTACCTGCTTCTCGCGCGACAAACCCATTTGCCGACGTTACGATGTCGGACATCGAGGGGGCAGCACCGGACAATTCACTTATTGACTTGAGTGATAATGAGATTGAAATTGAAATTGAATAGCTACTAATAAGAGTCGAGACTTACCCCGAAGACGGAGTTTTCTTCAGAGCATTTTACAGAAACCCTGCTTTGTTACATCTTCGCGTTCTGTTATTACCATTTATTGTTTTGTTGCAAAATAAACATACTACACTAGCTGAAAAGCAGCACCCAGCCCCGAAAAAGCGCCCACCTCGAATAAGCGCCCACTCTCAAAGTCCAAAAATTTAATAAGCACCCAGATCGAATAAATACGGTATTTGAAGATACGGGTGTGACGAATGAACTGAACATTGATTATTTTTGTTTGTGTTGTATTTCATTTTATGATCTTTCTCATTCAGATACTATTAGAGACTGAATCGAGATATAGATCATGCTGGGGTTACTCCCTATAATGGCCTATACGGGGAGGCTCCGCCCGACAGGGGTACCATTTTCAGACTTCAGGTATATGAAAGGGTAGGGGTTTACTCGTTAAGTATACGAGAGGGTATGGAATTCTGTCATTTGGGTCTGTGAAAGAACCCAAAAGGGCTAACAGATGAATGTTATGGCTTCATAAAGCCAAGAAAACGTTCTATTCATTTGCGATTGATTCCTATTTGAATGACAGTGCATTTACAGCGGTTAAAAGGGATAAAGAATTCTTAAGAAGGTATGTGAAAGGGGTAACATTTTTCAATAGAAAGGTCAAAATGGTGGCAAAACACCCTTTTTAGACCTTTTAAAAGCAATCACACCACTCCTATAAATTGCCTAGACTTAGTGAGAGGAACAGCTGAGAAAAAGAAATTAGTAAAACTACGAATAAGTAACCACAAACTAATGATAGAATTTAATTGGTAGATACAATCAAACTACCAGAAATAATATACCGGTAACCTGAGATCAGGCCCAATTTTAGCGGTTCTCGTACATTCTCCGGCTATTTCGCCTTGCCCTCCAGAATGTTTAATATTTTCAAAACGAAACGAAAATAGAGCCTGATCTCAGGTTAGAAATAATAGGAATTGCCCTTTTTGTGGACACAATGAAATAGAAGACGAAATTCACTTCCTTTTTAATTGTTCTAGACACTCCTTGATTAACAATAATTTTTACAATGAAGTTAAGATTCAAATATTACTCAGTTACCTGTGAAAGTTTTCATCAATGAACTGATGAACACATCTAATTACTATATTAATTTTCAATTCATGAGATATATTTCAGCTTGCTTTGACTTTCGTGACGAATTATTAACAAAGTAGTTTAACTGGCCAGTGATTAAATTTTAGTTCTTATTCTTAAAACATAATTATAATTAGCTTTTGCAATACTATATGTACTTGTATGGTCCTGCAAGTAAAGCATGTTGTTGTTGTTGTTCGCAAAAATACGGTATATACTGAAAGGCTAAGGGGATGGACCTCGGGGCGGAGCCTCCCCGTATAAAAATTTGTTGAGTACCCCCGAGGGTCATATAGAGACATTATCGTATATTTGATTAGCCAACGTAGTCTTTTTTTCAAGAAAGGAGATGTTACATGTTGCGTGACATGTTAAAGTAGGTCAAGCGTCCATTAAGTAAAACTACCCTTGCTCTCTCATAAAATCGTGTGATTCCTTCTGGAAGTACAAGACGGGGGGCTTATAACCGGAGTAAAAAGTTGTTTCAAAGTAGGCTTTCAATATACCTTTTGAATTTGATCGCCTTCTCAAGCTTCAAAAAGTCGTAAAAAGTCGAATTTATTTCAATACAAGCTAAAGGGGTGTTTATATTCGTGTCCGACTTTGGTCGAGAGGTGTTCCACTTCCACTCAGGCTAACAGGAAGATGGGCCTATAAATTGGGGGGACGGGGGACGCTTATATTGGCGGGGGCTAATATAATGGGAAGTTAACCTCTCTCCTCCGCAGGGGCCTCTTTGTGTTGTGGGGAGGCTGGGGAGAAGGAAAAAGAGAGCGCGCGGGGCACGAAGGGAAGGGGAAAGAGCGAAGAGAGGTTCCCGCCTTTTCCCTCTTCCCATCGTGCCCCGCGCGCTTTCGTAGTTGCGTAGGGAACTGGAGCGAGTTTCAAATTTAAACTAATCGATAAACTGACACCACCATATAAAAGGTCATGTTGAGATTGGTTTTTTGGACAAGTTTGGTGCTCTAAAGTTGAACAGGGATCAACTTGAAGTTATGACTCTTGAAACAAGGTTAAAGATCCATACAAACGTCTGTAATTTTGTGATAGCGTTCCGTTTAAAATATTTCTCAGTTTTTCTGTTAAACTGTGAAATTCGTCATGCATCTACGACTTGGAAGGAACTTATTCGAAAATCACTATGTCTCAGTTGGGGTGACCCTAGTCGGTGGAATGGCGGACTGACGGAACGACGGAACGGAATGGCGGAATACACGGAATATTCTAAAATACGGAATATATGGAATACACTAAAACACGGAATTTACGGAATTTTTTGTATTTGATTTGGACTGGACTGACAAAAAAAGCAGAGCAGAGGCAAAGAATACACGGTTGTTTTTAAAAATATAAAAAACTCAATTTTCGTACTGCCGTACGGATAGACCTTTAATATGACTTTGGAAAGCCATCTTGACGGGTGGGTCTTGAATGGGAATCTAAAGCCGGATAATTTTCATAAAACGGCTGTTCTGAAAAAAAAAAAAAGAATTGTAAACTTAAGCTTCACAGCAAAGGATTGTACTAACAACTAATGGTGGCCGCACCTGTGCCTAAATTTGTCTGATCGCATGCTTAAGATTTTCCAGACATTTGTCTGCAATTTTTCATGGGAAATTTTAGTCGGCAGGAAGACAATTTTTTACACACAACACTGCATATTTTCACGCGGTTACCTACCCATTAAGATAGCCTCCAAAACCGTAATGATTCGATTTAGCACCGTCCTTCCAATAAGCGCCCCCTTTGAATGCCAGTTTTGTTAAGAAGCGACCTCATTGTGCTAAGCCCCCCTATTCAAAGATTATATTAGAGTGCGGGTACGCGTATCAACCGAGGTTCATCTTCCTTTACTCCCAAACGAACGGCAATGCCACATTACAAAAACAGTGGTCTTTTTTCCATGTGAGTGCATAAATTCTTCAAACGAATGATCTCTTCTTCAAATTTTGTGTTGATTGCTCGGCTGGTCGTTCTGGCGAGGAAAGATCCAGGGACAACAAATCCGTTTTCCAGTCTCCTTAATCCAGTCACCTTGACTAGCACTTGGTTCTCACTGCCGGCTTTTCAGTAAAGAAAGTAGAATATAAGGAAGGAAATTAAAAGTTCCATCGGAACATGCCCAACGAGTTTGTTATGAGCTTCAAGGTAAGTCCCTCACGTTAACTGAACATTCACCGTCAGTATTTGTGTTTTACTTGTCACGCGCTTAAAACTAAATGATCTGAAGAGAAAAAAATTAGTATTACTTCGAGTTAGCATGAGGTTCGAGTCAGGAGCGAGGGTTCGAGTTATGGGTGTCGACTGTATACATGTATATCCTTTTTAAAAGATTTTTCTCTTATTCTGGGTTTTAGAATATTCCGTATATCCCGTGTTTTGTTTTAGAATATTCAGTATATTCCGTGTTTTAGTATACAGTCGAATCTCCACTAACGGACACCTCTCGTAAGCGCGGACACTTCCCATTAGCAGACACCAAACTGTGGTCCCGGCGATTTCTCCTCTCAAACACTACATTTTTCACCTCCCGTAAGCGGACACGGACACGTATTTGGGGTCCGCAGGGTCTAAAATAACCTCCCGTAAGCGGACAATGAACAATACACCAAGAAAATTTTAATGCTTTAATCACACACTCACCTAGATAAAATCAGTGTTTGAACCTGAACAGTACAGTACATATGAAGGTAACGTTCCAATAAGTTTTTTTTTCGTTATAATACATCAAAGTTTTCCTTTTTTAAAGAGCCCACTGTGAAATCTGTACGTAACACACGCCCTTCAAATGACCGAGGAGCTTTCGGAGTTCGCCAACTACCATGGTAACGAGGAACTCTCAAATACTCTGTTCAAAGTGTCGGATTTCTTAAGAGACCTTAAGATCAGGGAACTGCTAGACTGCAAAACAGTCGGTTTTTTTCTCAAAATCAGTAAAGAAATCGGTAAAGCGTGGCGTGAGAGTCTTACGCGCGCGAAGCGCGCGAGCCTCACACGCCCAGTCTCGCTCTCTGTTTTCAGCCTCATTCCAGACCTTTTGTTTGACTGCTCGCGCGTACTTGAATACGCAAAAATACGGGCTGTTTTGCAGTCTAGGGAACCGCAAAAGCAGACATGGATTGATAGTTACTTTTTTACCAACATAAGAATAGTGCGTTTGAAAATGACAATCATCTGATGTGCATAAAATGCTGTATGTACTTCTTCTGTTCTGTTCCTCTTTTCTGTTCACCTTGATTGAGTATGTAAATGCTTACATTTTTTAAGCAACATCCAACAACCCTTTGATGGATAATACAGTTACAAGTGGTCTTAAAGTTTTAAAATACTTGTTCTGGTGCATTATATGCCCTGTACTGCATTTTTTTTCACCCTTCCGTAGGCGGACACTTCCCGTAAGCGGGGGTGTCCGCTTACGGAAGGTTCGACTGGTATTCCATATATTCCGTATTTTAGAATATTCCGTGTATTCCGCCATTCCGTTCTGTCAGTCCGTCAGTGCGCCATTCCTCCAAATATGGTCACGGTAGGTCACCCCTATGTTTGCCCATTTTCAGGAATGTCACAGAAATCGTGAAAAAAATTAGGAGTTTATATGGTTTGTGGGGACGCTGTCACAAAATTACAGACGTTTGTATGGATCTTTAACCATGCTTCAAGAATCATAACTTGATCCCTGTTCAACCTTAGAGAACCAAACTTGAGCAAACAACCGATCTCAACATAGCCTGCGAAAGCATCCGTTTCTCCTTCGCTCTTCGCCGCTGAGGACGTTCGCGAGACCCCTGCGGCGAAGAGCGAAGGAGAAACATGATGCTTTCGCAGGCTAGATAGGATCATGTGCGTTCGGAAGCTTGATAATATAGTATGAAGCGATGCATCATGGGATATATGAAATTCCCCCCTTTGGCAACAACGACGGTAGCCTCCCACGCAGGCGTTTTTAGGGAAGCTCGTTTTTCATCCCACCTTGTGCATCCTTGGAGACCCATGGGCAGATAAAGGGGGCGAGGGAAAATATATATGGAACGAAGAAAAGTAAAGAACGGCAAGAAGAGCTCTTCTCGCCGTTCTTTACTTTTCTTCGTGCCACATTTTCCCGCCCTTTTAGACTTTCCCTCGCCCCCACTATCTGCCCCTGGGTCTCCGAGGATGACCTTGTGGGGAGGGATGAAAAACGAGCTCCCCTAAAAACGTCTGCGTGGGAGGCTACAACGACGGCGGCGGCAACGAGAACGGCAAAAAAGCAATAAGTTTACATTAGTAAAACAACAACTTTGCACGTGCATCACGCTTTTTTGCACATTTTTTAGCCTTCGTTGCAAGACTGCGACATGAAACTTCCTAATTTCACGTGCTCGCTTTACGGAGTAGCTGAACACAAGACGAAAAGTTTCTTTTCTTTTTCTAATCTTAGGTACGATCCCTTCGGATTCAACCCCAGAAAATTTCGCCAACATTTGACAAACGAAATTGAATAAGATCGGTGAAGTTTGAAACAGTGCGAATATACTTTTTAAGTGATTTTTGGGTTTGTTGTCATCCAAAATTTTTTTTTGGCTACCATGGCAACGTGAAGGTAGCGGCTTCTCCTCTCTATGGTTAGCGACAGGCCTGGTAGCCTCCCACGCAGGCGTTTTTAGGGGAGCTCGTATTTCTTCCCTCCCCACAAACGCCTGCTCAACGGAAAACAACATTCCTTTCCCAAGCTTAGCCAATCACATTGTACTTTCCAAATTCTGGAAAGTTGACCTTGACCGCAAGGTAATCTGATAATTACTCGATCTGCATTAAACACTGGGAAAGCTTTCTGACCTGCAATAAATGTTAGATTCAGAGAGGCAAAAATAAGTTTTAGTCAAAATTCAGAATACTCCGTGCACTGCATAACCTCAGCGAAGGAAAGAAAAGAAGGAAAACGGTAACTCTAAGGTCACGTTCAGTCGTGTTTAGCCTGTCAACACTTCATTGCACAATTGTTGATTGGTCACCTACCACGCAAATAAAACAATGAGAAAGAAATGTTGGGCGCTTTCCATTTACGAAAAAAACCCGGAAATTTCGGTGGTAGCAAAAGTGGAATTTCCGATTGGTAAAAAGTTGTTCCATTTGGTCGTAAACCCCGGTACGTGGCCGGGTGCCCGACCGTGGACCTGGAACTGGTCCAAACTATGAGAAACGTAAATGGAACACGACATTCCGTTCGGAAATTCCAACCGGGAAAACGGGACCACCTTTTTAGATTTTCCACTTTTTCTGGGAATTTTCCGGTGGGACGAACCGACGAAACGTGTTCCATTTACCGCCTAACCGGAAATTCCGGAAATTTTGACTAAATGGAAAGCGCCCGTTGTTTTCCGTTGAGCAGGCGTTTGTGGGGAGGGAAGAAATACGAGCTCCCCTAAAAACGCCTGCGTGGGAGGCTACAGGCCTGGTGGCCTGAGTGTGTGCAGCCACCTTCTCCCCCAGGAAAATTTGCAGCCCAGTTAAAATCATGTAAAATCGCCTTTTGGCGGTTCTTGTTTCATACAGCAATAGGCTATATCCTTAAAATGGGGGCTGGGATTGTAGGGGCGAAGAAAGCTTCTTACGAACCTTCTTTCATTTTACCAAGCGCGTCAGAGAGAGTTGAGTCAAAGCACATTAATGTCTTGTTTGTTTGCGACGAGTGGAATTCTAGTAAGGAAGGTTTGGCTACTTTCAACAGAGAATTTGCCATAAAGTTTGCTAAAGCCTCAAGCGAGGACTTTGCAGTTCACTGCTATGTTTGTGAGGGCAGTGAATCGGACAGAGAAGATGCCAGAAAAAATGGTGTGAATTTAAAAACAGCAAAGAGTATACCGGGGACAAGTGACCGTCTGGAATGGCTGAGACTTCCTCCTTCGGAGCTTGAACATCCTGATGTTGTGATCGGCCATGGACGGAAGTTTGGCATCCCTGCTTATTCCATTACACGAATTACAAAGTGCAAATGGATACAGTTTGTGCATGTATTTTGCGAAGACCTTGGAAAGTACAAACAAACGGAAACAGATGCAGTAGAAGAGAATGAGAAGAAGCATAAAGAGGAAATCGAGCTCTGCAAAGAATCAAACTCCGTTGTCGCTGTTGGCTCACGACTCCAGCAAAAGTACAGCAGATGTCTCCCAGACAGGAAAGTTCACATCATCACCCCTGGGATTTTGGATAAATTCGTCAGTCTTTCAGATCAGAAACTTGCCAATGTTTCGCATAGTCCTGACGAGTTCAGTGTCTTTGTCTTTGGGAGAGGATCTTATGAAGATCTGGCGCTCAAGGGTTATGATATTATTGCCAATGCAGTAGGTTCTCTTGGAGAGAAGTTCAAGATGACATTTGTTGGTTCACCTGAAGGCCAACATAAAAGTGTAATGGACTGGTTTCTACAAAATACAAACATAACAAGGAGGCAGTTAACAGTTCGTGGTTACTGTAATCAAGATAGGGTGAAAGAAATGTTCTACGCAGCAGACTTGGTTGCTATGCCTTCTCGTACCGAAGGCTTTGGTCTGATCGCCTTAGAGGCTATTTCTGCCGGTGTTCCTGTTCTTGTTACCAGTGAATCTGGAATAGCTGAAGCTTTAAAGAAAGTTGACGGTGGAAAATCTGTGATCATTGAATCAGAAGATCCCAAAGAGTGGTCCCAAAAAATCAGAACTCTGTCCAAGAAAAAGCCGAATGAAAGACTCAAAACGTCTATTAATCTCAGAGAAAGCTACAACAAGACATTCCTTTGGGACACCCAGTGTGAGAAATTCAAAAAGATCATTTTGAAGATGATGAGTGACAACTGCTGTGCTGAAAGTGTTGAAGGTCAGTGTATTGCTGTTCTTGCCTATCTCGCCCTATGCACCTGAGTCAATTAGAAAAGTGTAAAATCCCTCTGGCCTGGAGGGGGGCACTCAAGGCTGCCAAGGCCTTTAAACCAGGGGTGGATCTAGAGGGAGGTACACGGGGTGTGACCCTCCCTGAGATGACCTGTGGCTTTTTAATTAACACTGTACAGTCACTTTACAGTTATACAAAATCTGCTGTATCATTTGATATGTATTCTCAGCAGTTCACATATTTATGTCTAGTCAAAAGCCTTCTTCTTCGTATTGCTTTTTAAAATTTGTTTACGTTACCAATTATCAGTTGTGCCATCCCTTAGTGGTGCACCCCTTCCTGAGAAAAATCCAGGGTCCGCGGCCTGCAAACCCTCCCCATGTTTTAGACAAAATCTTTCTTTTTTCTACCTTGTTTAAGACAAGAGACCAGAGTTACTGATTCATTCCACATACAGAATTATGTACAGCAGTTGAACCTCCATCAAGCAGCAACCTGTTATTAGTGGGCGCCCTCTATGCGGTGGCTAGAAGTCAAAGTTCTAAAATAATAAGTACAAAAGAATTTTATGTAAAATCTCTATTGAGCGGTCACCTTCGTGATCTGGATGAGAGTTTTCGTATTGTTGTCATCTCCATTAGTCACCCAACAAGCCCTTAGTTTGGTTTTGCTTTAAAAATATGATCATGAAGGAAAGTACAGTCTTAAATAGAGGGTGGTGACTGACATATATTGGACCACTAAATGCCACTCCAATTTTTTGTATGTTTTTTTATTTAAACAAAGTATAGTTTCTTCTAAAAAGTACTTATGCTGGTTAGTCTTTCTTGTGCAAGCAGCGAGACTCATAATCTGCAACCTGTTTTTCTTCGTATTTATGGCACAAAAGGGGGGTCTATGTGCCAGGCATTCCTAGTGGAGACCGTGGAAACTGGGAATAAGAATCATTGCGTGACCAAAGCCACGCATGTTTTGCAAACAAAGCTTAGGAAAGATTAATTTTAGAGCTTTTCTGAAACATGTCGGTCCACGAATTCTATCATTTGATTTAGCATTGATTACCTTGGAACAAGTGAACATGACTACTGAGTGGTCAGAAAAAAATCAGGTGTTGTAATTTTTCATTGTATGCAACTGGGTCTTGCATGCGGTTTATTTTAAGCGATGATTGAAATGACGTGCCATGTAAATCACTTTTTTGATCTCTGGTAATGATATAATTTCTCTGGAATCAAGGCCCTTGAATTTTCGTGCATTTATACACACGTATAGCTGCGACCGCACACTTATTTCAGGTCATCACTAACACGCATACAAAATGAGTTCAGAAACAAATAAAAAGTAAATATCATGAAGAATACTCGACGTTGCTATAGTAGGAAGTAAATAAAAAACCTTTAGCAAGTAAATCCTGTTTTGTGTAGAATTAATCACCTCTTCATTTCACGCTCTAATCTCCAAGCAAGCGAGACTGAACGCCACTGTAAGAGTGTTCTTGTTTATGGTAAACCCCTACAGAAATGCCAGCTTCTAAGCAGCAACTTGCCAGTAGCTCATGGGTGGTTGCTTAGTAGAGATTCACCCATTTAGTAAAACATTGTTAAGTCATGGAATAAACTTTTTTTGGAGAAGATTGTTGCAGCAGAAACGTAGACTACTTGTCGCCAAGGTTCACACTCCCATAAAGGCTTCCAGTCTGAAAAGACTCAAGACTTTTAGTACTGAAATTGTGTATTGTGAACTCAAGTTCCTGAAAACCGAATTTTCATATTCAGTGACACATACCTTGTTTAGGCCAAATAAGAGAGTGTCCCTGGGAAACCTCCCAGGCATCTGAACTTTTTAAGGCAGACCTGATATTAATACTAGGCTGATTTAGCAACAGAATGGGAATGTCAGTTGAAAATGGTACGTGCAAATCAAACAACTGGCCTGACCAATGGCAGAGCGGCAAATTGGGCACCGAAAGTCACGTTTAGTCCTTTCTGCGTGCTTTCCTGTCGTCAACTGAGGTTTCCGTTCTGTTGCTAAATCAGCCTACTTTGTTTTGAATAAGGCAGTGATATTATATTTCTTGACTCTCTATTTCTCACTATTTCCACTGTTTTTGAAAAAAGCAGCTGACTTTATAAGATACCTCCAATTGAATTTATTGTTTGATAGAAGTTGTTTCTCACTTTACATCTTATCTGTAATTATGTTTGTCTCTGTTCAGTAAGAATGAATAACCTAGCTGGTATTTTGGCAGCCACCTGGACTGACAAAATCCTCATTATGTTGATTGGCAATTGAACTACAAAAATTAGACTCTTTTTTTTTAAATTGCTTCCAAAAATACTGGATAGCTTTTGAATCCTTTTCGAACAATTCATTTACTTGCAAAAGCTGTATCTTCACTTGTAAACTCCTCCATCTCACTATGAGAAAGATTATATCTATCGAACCATGTTGTCAGACACTGGGTCATGGAGAGAATTAATTTAAACTTGACACTTCCAGTTCAAATTCCCCACCCAGGAGAGGGGAGTAGTGAAGTTTTGAAATGATCAGCCAGTAGGGGAGAGGAGAGTTTGTTTCTCCCTTAATTTTTAAGATTCAGTTCTCAGGCCTAATAGTATTTAGCTTAGGGCCTGCCCGTGAAGAACAGAAACGGTTGGAGAACAAAGAGTGTTCATTTGATTTTTCTCTGTTGACATGATTTAACTCACGTTTTAGTACAAAGCCAGTCAAAGTTGTAGCTTGCATTCATGCAAATGTTTTTATCATAGTATTTCCAAATAATTAGCACCCCCTTCAGATAAACGCCCCCCTTTAGGCTGAAAATTTCAAATAATAAGCCAGGGGCACCCAACAACAGTTGTCTGTAAAATATCTGTTTGGAGAAGTAAAAATTGCCTAGAATTTTCTATGTCTTGAGGAAGGCTAAAAATTTTAGTTGATGGCCGTTCCATTCATGTACCATTTTCAAAGCTTATCTAATAAATTCCTTACGATCTTTTGAAGTTTAATTTTTCACATTTCACTTCCCAGATTAAGCTATCTTTTGCAGAAAAAGCAAAAATGTTTGGAATCGAAAATGCGATAATTTGAAAGAGGAATCAGAAAAAATTTCACTTTCGTAAAACTTTAAATTGCATCTAAAATTTTGGCGAAAATATTACTGAAGCCCTGGTAATTTGGAAATGACTCAAGTTGCCCTAGGATGACTGAACAGATATAAATTTTATAGCACCACTTAGAATGTATTTATAGATCCAAAAGTACTCTGGATGGCCTAAAAAGTGTTTTCAATGCATTTAGGAGGAAACTGTTGTTGGGTGCCCCTGATATTAGCACCCCCTTTAAACAGCCCTTACTGAATATAATGGTGTACAGTATGTTCATCTTCAATGTCAATATAACATAACATGAGCAATTATTACCAGTGAATGACCCATTTGATGACATCACATGGTTGGTCACATCCTCGGAGACTAAGGGGCAGATAGTGGGGGCGAGGGAAAGTCTAAACGGGGGGAAAAATATGGCGCGAAGAAAAGTAAAGAACGGCGAGAAGAGCTCTTCTCGCCGTTCTTTACTTTCCTTCACGCCATATTTTCCGCCCGTTTAGACTTTCCCTTGCCCCCACTATCTGCCCCTGGGTCTCCGAGGATGGGTTGGTCATGAAGGATGCAGCTCCTTTGCAGAACTTAGTCACAACAAAATCTTCAAAGCCACACAGTACAGTCACATTTGGTTATACAGTGTAGATTGTTCTACTTTTTTTAATGTTACAGTTTCCCGCAATTGTTCTTTCATTTGAAACCTGAGACAAATGTAATCTTGCAGCTCAAATTCTGAAGAATAAATAAGCAACCCCTTTTGGAACTACAGTTTCAGTTGAAATTGTTGGGAGACTTTGTTGTCTCCTTGCCCTCCCATTGTTGGTGTGCAAAATTTGGTGAGTTACCTGCGATAAACAACATTGAAAGGACGAGGAGACGGGCCAGAAGCAAAAAAACAGGGTGAAAGTGTCCCAACTATTTTTGTCTGAGATTAATTTTATTGTAGCTCCCCCTTATCTACTCAGAAAAATTAAGACAGAATCCACCAGGACATTGAGTAATTTTGATTTTCAGTGGACAAAAATCTTGTACCAGAATAATTTAAAGGATATTGCATTCTTTTTTACATTTTCAAGGGCTAAAGATGTATTAAATCATCTGTAGTAACACCAAAAAAAATTTCTCATGGGAGCCCGAGAAAATAAATGTCAAATTTCACAAAATGACATCTTGCACGTGAAATTTTCAGAATTTTAGCTGTGTTTTCACAATTCTTGTGAAATTTGACATTTATTTTCTTGGGCCCCCATAAGGAATTTTCTTTGGTGCTATTACAGACAACTAATTACATCTACACTGTATAGCCCTCGAAAAATGTAAAAGAGATTGCAATATTTTTTAAAATATGGTGGTACAAGGTTTTTGTCCACTGAAAATTAAAATTACTCAATTTCCTGATGGATTCCGTCTTAAGTTATTTTGGGCAGTTATTCAAATATTTCCCTCCCTCTAGTATTGCTAAATACTACAGTCATTTTTCGTGGTATAAGCATATTTTTCTATTGTTTATTCTTTTTTTTTCACTCCTTTCAACCTTTTTTTCTTTAATCCTTGTCCTTCTCTTTTTTCTTCTCCTTTTCGCATCTGGAAATTTTTGTCTGCATTAATGATTATTTCTATGTTTATGTTATTTTATGGTGTAAGTTAAGTGATTGTCTTAACAACACCTGAGTATTTATTTCTTAATTTAATCATATGTTTTTTAAAGGTAGTAGTCCTTTTTCTTATAGGGCTCCATAGGCTTCCTTGCCTCGTCATCCATTTAAATATTCTATAATGTTGTAATATACATTATATAATAACTTTAAAAAGGTGATTTTACTCCTTCTGTAAAACGTTATCTAACAATAAGTGTTAGATAGTTACAAGTAAACAGAAGAAAATTAATTAGTCAAGTAAAATCACTCCATATGGGAAAACAGAAATAAATATAAAAGCACTCTCAGTGTAGTTGTAAGAACTAAAAAGGGTAGTGTGTTGTGTATATATAACGGCATCTGATAGTCTGCATTCCATTGCAAGGGTTTCTGTGTTCGCATTTAAAGCACTCAGACACTTCTGGCATGTGGCTGTTTTGTTGGACGGAGAGAAGATTCCCCCAACTTTATTTTATTCTGAGACTAATCTCAAGGCCATCTATGAAAACCAAATGAATCATAGAATGAACTTCATTATCTTCATTTGAAGAAAAGTACTATCCAATGTATTTCTCTCTAGCATTCAAATTAATTTTTAAAATTGCCATCCTAGGGCAAAGTGTCGCGGCCACATTTATTGACAAGACTGTTCCAGCTGATTTAGAAGACTGTGTTTCTAAAGCTGAATGTAAAGATAAGGATGGTCAGGAGATTCATGCTGCTGCAAAAAGTGGAAACATTGAGATTATAGAGTTACTGATGTCTCAAGGATTTGAGATTGATTCAAGGGACGAGGAAGGTACTACTCCACTTATGTTTACAGCTCTTAATGGCCATGAAGGTGCTTTTCAGATGTTGATACAAAGCGGTGCTGATCCATCTTTGAAAGACAACGGAGGGTTCAGTCTGCTCCACTTTGCTGCACAAGGTGGAAACACATCCATTATCAACAAGCTGTTATCACTTGGTCTTGACGTTGATTCAAGGAATAATGATGGCTTCACTCCACTGATGGCTGCAGCTGATCAAGACAAACAAAATGCTTTTGAGATGCTGATACAAAACGGTGCTGATCCATCTTCGAAAACCAACAAAGGGTCCAGTCTGCTCCACTTTGCTGCGCAAGGTGGAAACACATCCATTATCAACAAGCTGTTATCACTTGGTCTTGACGTTGATTCAAGGAATAATGATGGCTTCACTCCACTGATGGCTGCAGCTGCTCAAGACAAACAAAATGCTTTTGAGATGCTGATACAAAACGGTGCTGATCCATCTTCGAAAACCAACGAAGGGTCCAGTCTGCTCTACTTTGCTGCATTAGGTGGAAACACATCCATTATCAACAAGCTGTTATCACTTGGTCTTGACGTTGATTCAAGGGATGATGTTGGTGGCACTCCACTGATGACTGCAGCTTCTAATGACGAGCAAAATGCTTTTGAGATGCTGATACAAAACGGTGCTGATCCATCTATGAAAGACAACAAAGGGTCCAGTCTGCTCCACTTTGCTGCACAAGGTGAAAATACATGCATTATCAACAGGCTGTTATCACTTGGTCTTGACATTGATTCAAGGAATAATGATGGTGTTACTCCACTGATGACTGCAGCTGATCAAGACAAACAAAATGCTTTTGAGATGCTGATAGAAAACGGTGCTGATCCATCTTTGAAAGACAACAGAGGGTTCAGTCTGCTCCACTTTGCTACGCAAGGTGGAAACACATCCATTATCAACAAGCTGTTATCACTTGGTCTTGACGTTGATTCAAGGAATAATGAGGGCTTCACTCCACTGGTGGCTGCAGCTGCTCAAGACAAACAAAATGCTTTTGAGATGCTGATACAAAACGGTGCTGATCCATCTATGAAAGACAACAAAGGGTTCAGACTGCTCCACTTTGCTGCATTAGGTGGAAACACATCCATTATCAACAAGCTGTTATCACTTGGTCTTGACGTTGATTCAAGGAATAATGATGGCTTCACTCCACTGGTGATTGCAGCTTCTAATGACAAACAAAATGCTTTTGAGATGCTGATACAAAACGGTGCTGATCCATCTATGAAAGACAACGAAGGGTTCAGTCTGCTCCACTTTGCTGCAGAAGGTGGAAACACATCCATTATCAACAAGCTGTTATCACTTGGTCTTGACGTTGATTCAAGGAATAATGAGGGCTTCACTCCACTGGTGGCTGCAGCTGCTCAAGACAAACAAAATGCTTTTGAGATGCTGATACAAAACGGTGCTGATCCATCTTTGAAAGACAACGAAGGACTCAGTCTGCTCCACTTTGCTGCGCAAGGTGGAAACACATCCATTATCAACAAGCTGTTATCACTTGGTCTTGACGTTGATTTAAAAGACCTCTATCGTAAAACGCCGCTGATCATTGCAATAGAGAAAAACAATTCTGATGCTGTAAAGGTTTTACTATCGAAGAGTGTTCAAAAATCAGCGTAAATGTGTAACGGTAATATTGAGGTATCTGAGTTATGTATGTTTATTATTATTTTTACGAGGAAATTGGCATACAAACAAAAATTTATTTTGCAACCATGAAGTAACAGACCTGCCCCAAGCCAGTTTGGCAGCAACGTCTTCGAGCCTGCAAGCATGCTTACTTGTGTGGCTCCCGTCGCCAGCATTGTCTCCTGGTACGCGCAGATACGCGCACAAGTTAACCTGTTCGCAGGCTAAAATTTATCCAAGAAAGCAATGTCTTTGCCCGGGGGTTGGCCCGCACGGGGAATGGGCCTAGCTTGAATTGAGTGATGAATCAGAGTATCGTGTAAGTTAAAAAGTAGTAAATGAACTTGAGGCTTTTGTGTGGCCACTCCCAATGCGGACGTATGAAAACACTATAGGAAAAGATATTTTAACGTACAATTAAATGCTTTGGATGCTGTTAAAGCACTTCTACAAACGCAACTTTTAAAGCAAGCGTACTGTACGTACATTAGCCTTTGAACAAACGCCCTCTCTCCCCGCTATAGGCTGATTTAGCAACAGAATGGGAACGTCAGTTGACGACGGCGCGCGCAAATTAAACAACTGGCTTGACCAATGGCAGAGCGGCAAATTTGGTACCGGAAGTCGTGTTTAGTCCTTCAGCGCGCTTTCCCGTCGTCAACTGACGTTCCCGTCCTGTTGCTAGATCAGCCTATTTTCTGAGGGGAGGGTGACGTCTATACATAGGCTATACATACATTTATGCATTTTTGTTACTCCTCAGTGTACGTTTCTTATTCTTTGTATAGTTTTAAAATCGCCATTAGTTTGAAAGATATTAGCGTTATTCAAATTTTTGTTACAATACCCTTACAATAACAAAATATTATAATGGCTATTGTTAAAGCAGTTCTACGAACGCACCTTTTAAACGGGAACGTGAACGTCAGTTGACGACGGCGCGCGCAAATTAAACAACTGGCTTGAGCAGAGCGGCAAATTTGAAACCGGAAGTCGTGTTTAGCCCTTTCCGCGCGTTTTCCCGTCGTCAACTGACGTTCCCGTCCTGTTGCTAAATCAGCCGACTGTAAAATTCCGAAAATAAGCCCCTGCGTATACAAGCCCCTCCAAATATAAGACCCCCAAACTCGTGACGCAAAACACCCTCCCTTTAATTGCCCCTCCAAATATAAGCCCCCCGGGGGGGTTGTACTTTTGGAAATTGCCCTCAAATACAAAGTAAAACAAGGAAAAACGGTAAATTTCCTTCCAACTATAAGGCTAGCCCAACATGAGCACCTCCGAATATAAACCCCTCAAAAAATAAGCCCCTCAAAATTGGCCTTTTAAAAATATCAGCCCCGGGGCTTATTTTCGGAATTTTACGGTATTTTCTGAGGGGAGGGTGACGTCTATACACTGGCTATACATACATTTATGCATTTTTGTTACTCTTCAGTGTCCGTTTCTTATTCTTTGTATAGTTCTAAAATCGCGATTAGTTTGAAAGATACTAGCGTTATTCAAATTTTTGTTACAATACCCTTACCATAACAAAATATTACAATGGCTATTTTTAAAGCGTAATAAATTGTTCTTTAATTTTGATTTTGGTTACTAATGTATGGCACAGGTTCCGCGTAGGTGGAGGTAAGTTTCCTAGATTCCTATACTAGATGAGTTTTTCTGATCCTAATTTTCTCCTGCTTTTCGCTCTCATTCATTACGGAGGATATAGAGAAAATGTAATAATGGTTACTGAACAGATGCAAGAGGCCTCATTCGCTCAATTGCATTTGTTCCCAATGTATTGTCTAGTCTGAAATGAAAACTGCTTGCTGACATGATTACATCCAGTTCTGAAAGTGAATAATCTTCCTAGACTAGACAATACTTCAGGAGAACGAAATATCCATGAGAATAATGTCTTTACTCAAGAGAACTTAAACGGTAGAAGTTTGTTGTAGCAGGACCTAAGCCTTTTTAATTTACAAGAAATGCACTCAATGGCGAAGCAACCTTCAAAGGGGCCCCTTGGCCAACTAGTTTGAACTTAGGAGACTTTGCAAATTTTCGCCAGATTCACCAGTTTTGTCAAAATCGCCACTCTTTTTACGTGGACTCCTTTTGCAAAAACATGGGAATATTTGCCAAACTTTGGTGATTTCTCGCCAAATTTGCTATTTGCGCCAAGTACTGTATTTCTGGACATATCTCGTTCTAACTAAGAATCCAGCGACTGATACTCCAACAGTCCTAGGGAATTTCAGCGAGTGTCTTCGGACCGTCTTCCATTCGTTGACAGAGGCCGGATTAAAGCAACAAAAAAAATGGCTTCATCAACTGAGTTGGGAAAAGGAATTTACCATCGTTTCATTTTGCTACCCTGTTTAAGACAAGAGACCAGAGTTACTGATTCATTTTCTTTCACACACAGAATTACTGCAGTTGAACTTTCATCAAGCAGCTACCTGTTCATAGGCGTACGGGCAATTTTCGGCCAGGGGGAGCGGTAAACCATTTGCCCAAAAAATTCTTGCAAGTAGCCCAAATTTTTACAAAACAGTCGAAAAGAAATGAGGCCCATACGATGCAACAACATAGGCCGTACTGGCATATGAGAGTGCCTCGATACAGTTTTTCAGGGTCAATACCTAACAAACATTTGGAAAAACTGCCACCACAGTTGCATTAGACAAAGATGAAAAATTGTCATAATCAGGGTTGCAATGACATCAGAGTTGTCATAGCAACGAAATGACGCCATTACCTATTACACTTGCTGCATTATTTCTCACTATGAAATCGTTCTTGGGAGCTTTTTCCTCCAATAGTCGCCTCGATGTTCGTAAAGTTAAAACGGAATCTGTAAGAGGGTTATCCGGATATTTTGGGATAGAGTTTTTATAGTTAGAAATACAGTAAAAAAGGGAAAATCTTGATGTTTAGCCGTTATCTGTAGAAAACGAAGCGCTTCTGACATTCAATTTCACCTCATAGTATAGCTTCATCTTTTTAAAAATGTGTGTGAATTATGTTAGAGATAATTCTGGTCAGTTGCTACAAAGAAGGATTTCATTAGTATGTATCATGGCCCTCTTGTTAGCGGTTTTGTAAACATTTCGGTCTACTTTAACAAATTAGTGAATAATTTGAACCACTTGATATATTTTTTTTAAAAAAATACGATTCTTCTCGTAATTCAAAGTGAGAATTAGTCAGCCACTTCTTCACTTTCAGATCAATCGCTGATGCTATCTGCCATACACTGTTCTACGAGCGGAGATGATTCTAGAAAGTTAGGCGGAAGTTTATTCTAATCAATTCACGATTGGAAATAGCCCATTGCAGTACAGTGCCCAACGATAAAAAAAATCAGCATATGATACCCTTCCCTTATAAACAGAAACTCATCACGTGCTTGGCAACCACTGTCTCGTGTGAATGTAACTGGATTATTACGCCGACTTCAGGTTAAAATAGAAAATATTTATCTCTTCAAAATACTAATAAAAAAACATGAAAACGTCCTTAAAAGCTGGCTTTGCCCAAATTTTCTCTTGCTGCCCAAAAAATCTGAGTTGCCCAAAATTTGGGGGGGCTGCAGCCCCCCTCGCCCCCCCGGCCCGTACGCCTATGTACCTGTTATTAGTGGCCGGCACCCTCTATTAAGCGGCCAGTAGTCAAAAGTTCTAAAATAATTGTACAAAAGAATTTTACATAAAACCTCTATTAAGCGGTCACCTTTCCGCCATCTAGATGAGAGTTTTTATATCGTTGTCATCTCTATTAAGCAGCCAGCAAGCGCTTAGTTTGGCTTTGCTTTAAAAATATGATGAAGGAAAATACTGTCTTAAAAAGAAGGTTGTGACTGACATGGGACTACTAATGCCGCCCCCTTTTTTTGCATGTTTTTCTTTTCAAAACAGAGTATAGTTTCTTCTAAAGTACTTATGCTAAATTATGCCGTTAAGCCTCTAGGGAGAGGCCAAGAGGTTCAACCATAAGTAAACTAACATCATGGAATAATTTTGTTTTCGAAAAAGATTGTTGTAGCCGAAAAGCAGACTATTCGTCGCCAAGGTTCACACTCTTTTAGAGGCTTCCAGTGTAAAAAGACACAAGACTTTTAGTACTGAAAGTGTGCACCCTGAACTCTGAACTCAAGTTCCTGAAAACCTAATTATCATGTTCAGTGGCACATACCAGACGTGTTAAGGCCAAATAAGAGAGTGCCCCTGGGAACTCCCCAGGCATCTGAACTTTTTAAGAGCAAGCCTGATCTTAATACTTTGGTTTGAACAAGGCAGTGATATTATATTTATGACATCAGTTGATACAACAAAAATTTTGCATCTGGGGTTCAGGGTCTCCGTTGATACAATGGACCGATAGTGAAGTTTTAACGGAGCTGGGTCAGAACTTTTTGGTATTGGCTTAACCATATCCAGGTGCCTTGCGAGTTTGTATTGACTTGCTGATTCAGTTTTTCCAACGTGGTCGTACAAAAAGGCTTCCTCAGTGCGCTGGTTTGATTATTATGGAGTGGGTAGCCTGTGCACAGACGTATCATAGGAAAAGAGAGGAAATAAAAGATATCTTCATTACAGGTTTTACAATCTATGACTTGTGTCTGACCTGAAGGCAGATGTAGCTGGTAGACAATCCGGGAATGTGGTTTTTCAGGGCTATCACAGCGCGAAACGTAGCAAAAGTTCTATCAAGTGCTCTTAAGGTGACTCGACCCAGTTTTTTTTAGGAGGTACCATCCTACTTTGAAGCTCTCTGGTATCCCCACCTTTACTTTTATCGTAAGTATAACACAGAGAATGAATAACATATAGATCAATCTACAATATAACATAAAATTTTTGGCGATCGGAGTAAATGTCACGTGGTTATAATGCCACGCCCCTTTGAGGTCTGAGTCCAAAATCTGCTGTTGCCAGCATTTTTTCGTGAAAATCTCTCGGCTACACATAGTGCGCATTAGTGCCTTGCGCTGAACAGAGTTTCACCAAAATCGCAAAGACCCAATTCGAGAAATTCAGCGGTTTCCAAATTTAGGTCATAATTTATGCGAAAATGATAAGCAAACTTTACACGGATTATATCTAATAAACTATGAGATTCATCTCTGTATTTTGGGCATCGTTATAACAGATGGGTCCTTGCAAGTCAGCAAAACGCTTTAGGGCCTTGTAAACGCGCGCGATTTCGAGCAAAGCAAACATATAGAAATTATAGTTTTCGCTATTTGTTGACGTTTGTCGGCGTTTAAGAGTCAATCTCACGAACAAAGCATTTTCTTAAAAATTCGTAGCTTTTTTCCTTCAAATTTTTTCAGGGCCACTATTGATTAACTAACTACCCGGACTCTGAATTTCATGGTCATTGAAAAACTGTGACATTATCTTCTATAAGCTCAAACTTGAGTAAACATTGAAGATTTTTAGAGTTTTGGCTGAGTTTGTGCTTTGGGAGTTGTCTATTGTTTCTAGTCTGTCATTATACAGCATTCTTGTTCAGCACGCGTGCAATGACCGCGCTCGGCTGACTTCCGAATGCTCACCGAGATATTATAAATTTGGTACAGTGAGACAGGCCATCGCGTGATACGTAGAGGTTTAACTAACAATTTTTAATCAATTCTCGTGCTTCTTGTGTCTTTGCAAAAAAATCAAGAAGTGCTACACACTAAGTCTACTTACTATTACAAAAATATCATTTTTTCATAGGTTTAATGCAAGCCAATAATTAAACCAACTCGAGACGGGAATATCTCGGTGAGCATTCGGAAGTCAGCCAAGCGCGGTCATTGCACGCGTGCTGAACAAGAATGCTGTATAATGACAGACTAGAAACAATAGACAACTCCCAAAGCACAAGCTCAGCCAAAACGCTAAAAATCGTCAATGTTTACCCAAGTTTGAGCTTATAGAAGATAATGTCACAGTTTTTCAACGACCATGAAATTCAGAGTCCGGGTAGTTAGTTAATCAATTGTGGCCCTGAAAAAATTTGAAGGAAAAAAAACTACGAATTTTTAAGAAAATGCTTTTTTCGTGAGAAGGACTCTCAAACGCTGACAAACGTCAACAAATAGCGAAAACTATAATTTCTATATGTTTGCTTTGCTCGAAATCGCGCGCATTTACAAGGCCCTAAAGCGTTTTGCTGACTTGCAAGGACCCATCTGTTATAACGATGCCCAAAATACAGAGATGAATCTCATAGTTTATTAGATATAATCCGTGTAAAGTTTGCTTATCATTTTCGCATAAATTATGACCTAAATTTGGAAACCGCTGAATTTCTCGAATTGGGTCTTTGCGATTTTGGTGAAACTCTGTTCAGCGCAAGGCACTAATGCGCACTATGTGTAGCCGAGAGATTTTCACGAAAAAATGCTGGCAACAGCAGATTTTGGACTCAGACCTCAAAGAGGCGTGGCATTATAACCACGTGACATTTACTCCGATCGCCAAAAATTTTATGTTATATTGCAGATTGATCTATATGTTATCCATTCTATGTGTTAGACTTACGATAAAAGTAAAGGTGGGGATACCAGAGAGCTTCAAAGTAGGATGGTACCCCCCCAAAAAAACTGGGTCGAGTCACCTTAAAGAACAGCCTCGACTTTCTCAGACTGCGAGCAGTCTCTTATTTTCTTTTTTAAAGCGTTTTCAGTGCCAAATGCGCTCACTCCGTCTGCGAACTCGACGGATCTTAAGAAAAAAGGCGAACTTCTCGCAGTCTACGACTTTCTCGACAGTAATCGCGATCCTTCCCCTATAACGTTGATGCCCACCCACATTCATCACATGGTGTTTGAATTCCATTCATGATGCGATTAACCCATATTTTTGTCCAAGGGAAAACACCGAGAGAATATAGAAATGGCTTGAAGTTTACTCTATTTGTTTTTTTTACGTAATTTCTGATAACCAGTCTTATCGAATTTCAAGGAAAGGTAGAACATGGTCAGTTTCTCGCTCATATATATATAGGTATATTAGGGTGTTGTTTGTTGATATCATTGAAGAAAAGGATTGCATCCTGTTCAGAGTAGAAAAAGCAAAATGCTTCATCTACGAAGCGACGATAGAATAACAAAGAGATTAAGATTCACGTTTACGGCAAACGGCAGATTCAAGTTGAGAATTTCTCAGAAGAGAATATAGGCAGATGAAAACTGTCCAGTACAAATCTTATGGATAAAACTGGCGTGAAACTACTTACTTCTGTGTAGAAATAATAAACAGTAAACGACAATTAAGGGGAAAACTTTGTCACGTGGTACACTCATTTGCGGCAAACGTGAATCTTAATCTCTCTCTAATACCTCTAAATCCCCTTATTGCTCCAGCGATCTATTCTCAAGGTTTCCCATGAAGAGATTGGCAAGAACAAGGACTAGGGTGGAGCCCATGGTTACACCATGCACCTGATCGTAGAAAGTACCCTTAAACAGGAGTTGAGTTTCTTTAGTAGTAAATGCAAAGAGTGTTGTTAGTTCATTTTTGCTAAGTTTCACCCGTGGATCAGTACCCACGGGTAATATATCTGACGGCAAGGCTAATAGAGTTCCACTTTGCCTAGACCCACACCCAACTATGACCACCGTTTACCGGAAAAAACACTCACAGGTTCAACAGTCCTCTTATTGAATTATCGTTATACATATGCAGCTTTTTGTCATTTTTTTTATTTATTCATTTGTTCTAAGTACAGGAATGTACAAAAATTTCCAGAAAATATCAATTTTAATGTCTCCAAAACCTTGGTTAAAAAAACAAATAAATAAAACTGAAACACGCAGATAACTAACATGGTTCATTAAAGGCAGTCATAAAACTTTATGAAACGCTTTTTAGAGTTTCCTTTGGAAACTTGCCAATGATTTAAAAAACGTAATCAATTAATGTTCGTCGCGGCATCTCCTTCAAAAGGAGATGTTCCTAAAACTAGTCTTATACTGCGATGTTTGTTTCTGTACAATAAATAATATTTCAACTTTCTCAACTAGGGTTCTGGGGTAAAATGTCTTAGCATAACAATGGAACTCCGAGAACATAGCATAACTATGGATCTCCAATCTCTTTTCAACATGTAACTTATTTCTTTAGCTCCTGTTTCTGACATCATAACACGTGACAAACGACTTGATGAGATGATTCAGACTTCCAAATGAGGCTGATTCATGCCTTGTAGGATGGTTTGGTGGGATCGAAAAGCGAATTTTTCTTTTCAAAGCTACACAATATTAACTCGATCGTACCTGATTCCTGGCAGTCTTATGTTTAGGCCACAAGAAAAGAAAAAAAAGGACACATGTGAGGCATGTGAAAGGTCAACCTCGTTCCCAGGATTTTCTCTCTTCCTCTCTCGAGGGAAAAAGAGAGAGAATCCTGAGAACTAGGTTGGTGCAAGGTAACCTTTCGTGGCCAAGTTTGTCAATGAAAAAAACTCAGTTGCTTTGCGAATGTGTTTTGGAATTAAAAGCGGTTTTATACTTTAGTGCCGACCTGTACCTGATTACTCAAACTATAAGAGGAAATCATGACTGAAATAGCAGAGACAGACGAGGACAGATGTTTTTCCCTTTTCCTACCGCCGCCGCTTCTGTCCTGTCGTTTTGGTGAACATCACAGCATAACGCACTTGTACGGCTTCCTGGTTGTCAGTATCGTTGCTAATGACATTTCTATCCTAACTGTATACGGTAACCTTACCAAAATGCACCATTTTCCATTTTGAATTTACTTCGTTTGGAATGAAAGATCGGCGCCTGACTAGTAACTGCGACCGGCCAAAATTTGAATTCGATTGTACGGCTTCTGAATCGGCCCTTACAGAAGAATATCAGCTAACATAACTTACGTTTTTTGTCGTAACAGTTCCCTTCTTTTGAACAAATAGAGTATAACACCCACGATAACAATTAGACAAAAGCCAACCAGCGAAGCAGAGAGAATGACTTCTTGATTTCTAGAGAAGAACTTCTCGTTAGATTCTGCTCTTTCTGAAAAATAAAAAATAAAAATAAGGGAAAAATGCTAAATTGGAAGTTAAAAGTAAATGAAAAGGGTGGTTCCATATTTTCAGTTCCCATTTTGTATTAATCAGAACAGTAAAACAGCCAGAGAGAGAAAGAAATCATGGTAAAAAACCTACAAGAAATTATGCTCTTGCCAATTAAAATAATACAAGAACATATCACGATTGACTCGACTGAAACCCGAATCTATCTTTCCCTTTTTCATACGTAGGACATATGTTTGATTTTACTTGTTGAAAATACTCAAAAATTTTCAAATTCGTTTGTTATATGTTCCATTATCTGATGATAGGGCTCGAGTTGATATTTTGCACCTGATATTACAAACGTCTTTAGTCTTAAAATGATTCTGTTGAAGTACCAATATGTGATCCAGGGCTAAAACTGTTGGAAAGACCATTTGTGTTTGTGTTTGAAGTTTTTGAAACAGGCGTTGATCTGGACGCTGTCGCCGATTTTTTCTCTGTGGCTGTGGGATTAGTATCTGATCCCGATGGTGTAGAGAATGTCATCAATATCGTGCTGGATGCTGTTTTCGCCGCCGAGGTAGTCGGAGTTTCTGTAGTACTTGATAATGTAGACGATGACGTGGCGGACTCTGATGACGTAGATGCTGTTGTAGCAAATGTAGTTGCTTTGGTGCAGATGATGACGTAGTGGATTCTGCAGTTGATGACGTGACTGCTGTTTTTGGCAACTGTCGTTGTTTCTGTGGTAGTTGGTAGTGTAGATGACGACGTAGTAGATTATGTACTTGATGACGTAGGCACTGACGTAGTTGATGTAGGTGCATCTGTGATACTTGGTGGTGAAGATGATGACGTGGTTGCCTTCGTAAGCACTGTTGTAGTGTATGACGTAGACGGTGGTGTTGTTTCTGCTGTGGAAGTTGGTGGCGTGGTTGATGCTACAGTTGATGACAATGTAGAACTCTTTATGTTTCCTATTTTCCAGTCATCTGTCAATTCCCAGCGTGAAAAACACGTTAGTGCTGTTTTTCGTTTGTTTAACTAAGAAAGTCAGATGTTCAGTAACCATACCTCAAGCTTGTCACTCTGACTAGTTAAAATAAAACTTAACTAAAGATAGTTCACATGAAGTATTGAACAGTGATATGGTGAACGGTGGTTCTCCCTGTTGAATACTTTGTTATAGGGCCAAATCAGCCGGCATTTCACTTTTGATTGGTTTAGAGAAGACCGTTAATCTAAAACAGCAGATAACGAAAACAGAGCATATGCGAATTTGCTTTTGAAATTCTTGAAACGCCTGCCACTCGGCTTGATTACCGAACCGCTACTTCCCTAAGATGGGCCAAGCGGCAACCGAGCCTTATCTGGCACAACTTTGCTCGTTATGCAGTGTTTATGTGTTGAAAACAGAAAAATGGAAAACATGATGAATAAGAATAAAAACGCAGCTTTGTACAACGATGGCTACACTTCGTTCTAAAAACAGGCCCTAAATGACAAAAAAGAAAAATACGGAAAAAATGTTAGTTGAATCCATGGAGACAGAAGCATATTATATGCTTCTGATGGAGATGAATGTTTGTAAATTCGGACAACTTATATATTTTTTCTTGATTTTGGAATCTTAGTGGCTACTCAACGAGGGAAGACTTATCAAATACAGTCAAACCTGTATTAAGCAGACCTGCATTAAACGGTCACTTTCTTTCCCTTAATCACTGTAAAACTGACCTGTATTAAGAAGTCACCCGGCCTGTATTGTGTGGTCGCGTTCACCTTTTCCGCTGTCCCAACGAGTAACCTTCACCTTCTTAAACGGTCACTTTGACAAGATGTACCATTATGATTAATGCAATAGATACACTGTGCATGACATCCAGTGGTCTTTTACCCCCTTTTTGGTGCAAGAAGAGGTAGAAACACTTTATGGTCAATTTGTCAACTTATGGCGGCAATGTTTTGCTTTGTCACCATCTTTATATTCTTGATAAGCAACCCTTTAAGCTCTAAGAGCGACCAGCATCAAATTTTGCCTTGTAATAATTTCATGCTTTGAAAAATTACGGGGAGAATTACAGACATGATCACACGAGATGAATTTGCTTGGTATTTTATCAACTTCTCCCCACTACCTCTGTTGGAAATGAATAGGGCAACAAATGAGAATTCAAATTTTGATCTTAGGGTTTAAAGGGTTAAAGTGAAAACAGGTTAATATGTCCCAAAGTGAACAATAAAATACTTCAAGCAATGCCGTGAAGAAAACTGCTTTAATGCAATGAGGAACGAACTACATGGATGGCGTGATCAACAGTTACGGCGCATGCGCAAGGTAAAATAAGGAATGGACTGGACATTTCACAGGTTTGACTGACGAAAAAGTGAGCTCCATTTCAAAAATTAAAAGCGCTTCGGAAGTTTAAACCTATCAATACTTCCGATAACAGCACCTGAACCAGCGTATGTACCACCTTCATCTACATCCTTACTGTACAGTTGTCAACAACAATAAAGTAGCCTTAGCCGCTCTCACAAGTCTCCTGTACGGCTTGGTGATAGAGCATCTGGACAAGTAACCAGAAGGTCATATTAGGTTCGTCTCCTACTGCCGGGGATTGGATTTGTTTCTTCAGAGTCACGTGTGTCGTTGACTGAAAAAACATCTTTCTCTCATTAAAAGATTTCTGTCCCAAACTTGATAGCGTTTGTTTTGTTTCAAGCCTGTAAAAGGATGAATTTCTAAGTACAATTCGTACAAGTACAACGCCTTCTTTGCAAATAGAAAGGGGTATGATAGAGGGTCAAGGGGTACGATAGAGGGTCTAGGCCCGCAGTAACTGGCTCACGCTGTTGCAGAATCCCTGCCACTTTTTCTCTATTATTTTGTTTGATTACCCTTATGTATTTACATTATGTTGGCGAAGTTAATAAAATAAAAATAAACATAAAATGAATGGGGGTATCTCGATAACACTTAACACTTCATTTTTTGGCTTTGTAACACGAAACAGTAAAATTTTAGACATTTTAACACTAACATTAAAAAATTCTTTGAAACAGTAAATTTTTTACAGAAAGAAGCAAAAACGGCTCCAAAAGGACCAATATTATTTTGTTTTGTATGTGAAGGAATTTTCGCCCACTTTACGACATTTCCGGATTATTTCAGGAAAAGGCTACCGAAGATTCCCGAAGACTGTCAAAGATTTTCGAAGACTAACGAAGAGGTCCGACCATTACCGAAGATGTCCGAAGAACCCTCCAAACACTTAATAGTATTTTCTTCGGAAACCGTAAATATTGAAAAATTGGCCAATTTAACAGCAAACACTAAAAACTATGGGCAAATAACACTAAACACTAAACCCCATTCTGACCCTCATGATAAAATTAAGAAAATTGTTAAAAAACATGTTTGAAATCAGTACTATACTCGACCAAAGGGTGTGAACCGTTTTCATGTTTGCCTGTAGATTGCAAAGCAGTCGGTTTTTTCTCAAAATCGGTTTAGAGTAGAGTAAGAGCAGCGTGAGAACCTCCCCAGTTTCTCTCTCCGTTTTCTGCAAAAATTTACGCAAAAATACGAACTGTTTTGCAGTCTAGTTTGCCTGCATGTTCTGTTCCAAATTGTAACAGACGCCCCCCCTCCCCTCAGGGAGCTATAACAGGAGATCCTTGCGTTGGGCATCCTCGGAGACCCAGGGGCAGTTAGCCGGGTCGATAAAATGTTCGTGGTGTTTAAAGTTTACTGTAAGATCGCTCGTCTAGATCTTACAGTAAACTTTCACCACGAACATTTTATCCACTCGACTAACTGCCCCTGGGCCTCCGCGGATGTGCGTTGGTAGCAAGGGAGATTATATGGAGACTATCATGAAGTACTTGTCGCCACTTCCGTCTTTCTGGGTAGTACTTGTGGTACATTCTT